CAGAGGGAGAAGCAGACTCCCTGCCGAGCAGGGAGCCCGATGCGGGACTCGATGCCGGGACTCCAGGACAATGACCTGAGCCGAAGGCAGTCGCTTAACCAACTGAGCCACCCAGGCGCCCCTGTCAGAGAGATTTCTATGGATCCTCCAGAAGAGACTCCCCAACTTCCTCCACTGGCTACCCTCCTGCCCTGCACCCCTCCCTGCTGAGGAGCTCCCGATAACTCCGAGTGGCTCCACCTTCTAGGACTTTAATACTTGGTCCAAGTCTGAGGCACCCTAGGGTCACAGCCCTAAGGAATCATGAACTCGAGGAAGGGGGCTGCCATGTGAGAAAAAGCCAGAAAGGGTCTAACTCTTGAGCTGGGCAAGACAAAATATTTGACTTGAGGACAATGTGAGCACAGCCACGGCAGCCTCGGGGTGAGGGGGCTACAGCTCAGACACGCAAGGGCTGGTTCACGGCCCAGGACCGTGAGTATAAACGGCTTCACATGGAGGTTGGAATGAATTTCTGGTCCTGTGGCCCTTCACAGAGGGAAACCAGGAGGCGTGGGGATAGTCCTGACCATCTGGGCTGCTGTCTGGAAACGTCCCTTTCTCAACAGCTCAACGGCAGAGTCCCACAGGCTCTTGGGCAGGCCTCCGCGGAGGGCAAGGTCACTGAGTCTGCAGTCTGGAGCTGTCCCTCCCAGTTACCCTCGTGCCAGGTCCTGGTCCCAGGCCCTGAGCTCCTCCTCCTTCACAATTAGAATTTCATAACCGGTCATTTTACTGTCACGGTCTCCCTGGGCCTCTGGCCTGACCATGATACCAACCCTGAGGACAAGGGCACTGGTCAGGAAAAGAAGGGAGGGCTTAGCAGAAATCCTTGACCATATCACACAACCACCAGTAGCTCTTTACCTGGCCTTTGGCCCATGGCCATGACCACACCAGCCACACCTTTGGCCGAGCCCTGGCCTCACCCCAGGACTCTGGGGGCTACTTACTCAGGGGGTCGGGTGTCTGGCCCCAGGGCCCTCTGCAGGGAGATCCGGTCACTGGCAAAGGCATTGAAGCAGTGCTTCTTATAGCCTTCTTCCTTTTCCTGGGTCTCCAGGCGGGTCCACTTGTCCTTCTGAAACGCTTTCCCATCTGCCCCGGGGCCATTGGGATCCTGGGGTGGCCGTTCCCAGAAGGGCTTCAGCTCAGCTGGGGTGTAGAACCCAGGCAAGCAGGACTGGTTTGTGGAGACAGCTGTCTCCTGGGGCTCTGGAGCCCTGATCTGGAGCTTAGGCATCGAATCTCTAAGGTTGTTCATGGCCCCCAGCATGAGGTCCAGGACGTGATCCTTCTGGCTCACCAACGACTTCAGCCATGGTTTCTCGGTGGCCTGTTCCGAGCTGCTTACATCCCGGTGCAGGATGAAGAGGAAGAGCATGAAGGCCCCGCCCACCATGGCCAGGCGCAGGTGCATGTGGCGTCTGCGGAAGAGCCGCATCCTCGGGAACCCACGGGGACCCTGGCTGGGTCAGCTCTGAGTGGGGGGCCCAACCCCAGAAATAGCTCGGTAGGGTGTGGTGGCTACACCTGGGGGCCTCAGCCTGAGAAGGGAAGAGATGAGAGAGAGAAATGAGCAAAGGCAGAGGTGTGGAGGGAGCCCGGGGGCTTGGGGTTTGAGTCCATGCTCTGCTGCCGAATGGTGACCACACCTAGGCCCAGTCACTTAACTCTTCTGGGCCTAAATTTCCTCTCTCCACAAGATGAGGAAACCAGACTCAGTGTTTCTCTCGTGCTCTAAGACTGTGACACTCATACATCTGGGATGACCAACCGACTGACTGCTGAAACTCTGCATGAAGAGGCTTAGTCAACATAACCGCTTTGGGAAAAAATGTGGCATTATCAAGCAAAATTTAAAATGTACCCACCCAGGGGTGCCTGGGTGGTGAGGTCGGTTAGGCCTCGGACTCTTGGTTTTGGCTCAGGTTATGATCTCAGGGTTGTGGGATCGAGCCCCACGTTGGGCTCTGCACTCAGTGGGGAGTCTGCTTGGGATTCTCTCTTTCCTGCTCCCTCTGCCCCTCTCCCCACTCTCTCTCTCTCTCTCAAATAATAAATAAATAAATCTTTTAGAAAAATTATGAAGAAGAAAAAAATGTACACCCCCTATGACCCTGCAATTCTACTCCCAGTTTTACATCCCAGAGAAACTCCTGTGCCTATGAGCCAGGAGGCACGTAGGGGAAAGTTCCTAGCAGCGCTGACTAAAATGGCCAAAATTAGAAACAATGCCATGTCCACCCACAGAATGAACAAGTGTGAAATACCCGCAGCACAGAGTACTCTAGAGCAGTGACAATGCATGAGCAACTTCTACAAGCAGCTGCACGGGGCAATCGCTGAGGCCAGAGAGTAGGCTGCAGCAAGATACGTACCGGACGAACCCACTTACAGAAAAGTAAAAAACCTGGAAAACTAAACATATTGTTTATGAACACAAAAATGAAGGGGTGGTCAAGCTAGAAAGAAAAATGAAGGGGAGGGATGCCTGGGTGGCTCAGTCATTAAGCATCTGGCTTCGGCTCATGTCATGACCCCAGGGTCCTGGGATCAAGCCCCACATCAGGCTCCCTGCTCAGCGGGAAGCCTGCTTCTCCCTCTCCCACTCCCTCTGCTTGTGTTCCTGCTCTCGCTATATCTCTCTCTGTCAAATAAATAAATAAAATCTTTAAAAAAAAAAAAAAAGAAAAATGAAGGGGAAAAAGACTCTGAAGGAATAATAAAACCAAAATTTCTGGAGAGGGAGGAAAACGTATGGGAATAGAGCCCTACAGTGGACTTGAAAGTATTTTTTCTTAAGTGGATGGTGGCTGCTGGGGGAACTGTTATTCTCCACACCCTTACATGTATTTTATAAATATTCTTCTGTATCTTACTCATATTTAATTAAAAAACCAAAACAAACAAACAAACAAAAAACACTTGAGGTTCTATGACAACATCTTCCGGGCAGAAATGGGATTATGTGTTCACTGGCTTCCATCCTCAGGAACTTAGTCACATGGCTCAAAGGATGAGTGTAAAATTTTCTGTGGAGAACTCTGGAAGCATAAGCCTTTTTTTGTTGTTGTAGTTAAAGCTTTTATTTATTTACTTGTGTGAGCTAGAGTGCGTGCGTGCACTTACGCGAGCAAGTCAAGGGGGGGTGACAAAGGGAGAGGGAGAAGCAGGCTCCCCGCTGAGCAAGGAGCCCCATACAGGACTGGATCCCGGGACCCTGGGATCATGACCTGAGCTGAACGCAGACGCTTAACCGACTGAGCCACCCAGGCGCCCGTGGAAGCATAAGGCTTATTGGTTAAATGTCAGATGTTGGTGGCAGGAGACCTGGGTACAAATCCCAGTTTTGCCCCTTCTAGTAACAATAGCACCTACCTGCTAGGGTTGGTTGTTGTAAGGATTAAAGCTCAATGAAATAATTCATGGAAGAAGTTTAGCAGTCTCTGGACATAGTAAGTTCTCAAAAAGTGTTAGTTTCCATTATTAGCACCTGTGTGTGCCTGGAACAAAGCAGTTCATCTCTCTAAGGCTCCATTTCCTCATCTAGAAAGTGGGGGTAACTAATACCTAACGCACAGGGTTGCAGTGAGGATGAAATCAGAGATAATGTACGTAAACCACTCAGCAGAGTGCCGGGCACGTACTAAGCCGTCAATAAATGCTATCAATTATTTCTATTATTATAATTAATAAATCCCTGCTCAGCTTCCCAGCAATTATCCTTGAGTACCTGGTCCTTGGCCAAAGCCACATTCATTACCTGTGGCATGTCTTGTTTAAAAGTAATGCCAGTTGAGCTCCTTAATGCTGTTATTTAAACACACAAGCTCCTTCCTGCCTGTGGAGAGAAGCCTGGTGTCTGGAGTCACTTGGATCTGGGGAATATGAGTCCATCCTGATCTCAAGAGGGAGCAGGGCTAGACAGGTGGTTTTCTTTTATCACAGCGGATTCAGCAGCATCATCAAAAGTCAAATAAAACCAAATCTCTTTGAGCAAGCGTTTTGTATCAGGAGTCGTCTAGGAGACAGGGGAGGAAATGTGTTCATTTGGCCAGCATTGTGAATGCCTGCTATATGTCAGGTCTGCCAGACGGGTGTGTGAAGTGGGAGCTTAGGTACCGAGTTAAGAATATTCAGGTTAGGACCTGCCAAACGAGGAGACACAAGCCACGCCCACGGCATCAGCAGGTGGCTCCCCCAGCATCTGAGCTCCCACTCTGGGGAAGTGAAACCCATGGGGTCATTCTGACTGAAGGCCCAGTTTCAACACACCCACACAAAGGAAGAAGCAGAGGCACAAGATTTATTATTACTTACGGATCCCAGAAGCGAGGGGGCGCAATGAGCCGGGGGAAGGGCAGTCCTTGGTCCGGGGCCACCTGCAAGCAGGAGACAGAGATAGACGGCTAGCACCTCTACTCAAAGGCACTTGGGACAGAGGTCACTAACTTTTCTTGGGCTTAACTCCTAAGTGGTTATTTTAAAAGGTGCCCCACTAAAAGTAAAACGGGAACTTTCGGCAGGTATTCTAAACTCAAGTCCTTATCTAAACGTCCAGACTCTGCATGTGAGTAGGGTAATCATACTCGGTAAAATGCCGAGGCAGCAACTCAGAAAAACAAAGCTGTCTTTCTCAAAAGTTGTTTTCCTCGTCACAACGGGGCAGACAGAGATGAGCAAGTCCAGCCTTCAAGGAGCATAGAGTCAACTGGGAAAGTCAGATTTTTTTTTTTTAATTGAAGTATAGTTGACCTGGGAAGTCAGATTTTAAATGGAGATCACCCAGTGAGACAGGCACCCTTGGTGCCCAGAAAGAGAGGACGCAGGAAACTCAGCAAGTGGGGAAGGGTGATGTCTGTGAAGAGGTCCCGCAGTAGAAGGAGCCTGGACTGAGCGCTAACCCACAGGTAGGAGCTGGCCAGGCAAGGCGAGCACATTTCAGGCAGAGGGAACAGCACAGACTAAGACCTAGAGGCAGGAGATAGCACGGCCAAGCAGAGAACTGCCAGTAGTTCATTATGGGGGGAGCATGAAGACAGACAGGAATAGCTGAGGATGGGCCTGGAGAGGCGGCTGCAACTGGGTCATCATGCCAAGGAGTTCGCGCTTGACCTGAGGTATGGGAGCAACAAAAGCTTAGCCTGAGCCCAGCATTACAGGAAAACAGTATGATAGCCGGTGGAAGGCATCTAGGAGATAGATCTGACTGGCAGCTGGATGGCCAATGGAGAGGGGTTTGGGCGGGGGGGGGGTTCCTGACCCAAGATAGTAGCAGTGTGGATCAGGAGGGAGGACGATGCTAGGAAAACTCCCTTGGGTGATGGGATGGGAGAATCCACCCTATCTGGGACACAGAGGGACAGGGAGCCAGGCTGCATCTGCCCTGATACTTTCTGTCTACCATCCCACTGCAGCAAGAGAGAGCACAGTTAGAAACAAGGACCGGGTAACAGCTTAGTTACCAGCTGCTGCCAAGTGTTTGAGACTCACCTCCTCCAGGAAGGCCTCCCTGATTGATTCACTCAGAATCACCGAGGTCACTCCAATTCTCTCGTCCTGGCATTGCCTCGTGCTCCTTTGCAGTGGGGTTCACCTTTGCTCCTTTTATTTCCCCTGGACAAAGAGATCTAAGGTTAAATTGAATTCTTCCCAGGCATCTGCTCTTTCAGTCCAGCCTGCCTGTCTAAGCCTTGCTCTCTGGAGTCTGCAGTTCCTCAAGGTACTAACCACATCCTGAAATGAAATGAGACACCTGTGATTAGCCAGGGCGGTAAGGGACTAGGTCTCTGTTTGCTCAGCATGTGGGCAATAGGAAAGAGCCCGGCAGAAGGGACACATAATCAGATGGAAGCCAGAAGACTTTGGGATTAAGGATTCCTGGCCTCCGCGTGGGAGATTCCCAGAAGTGTGGTTAGCAAGGGTGGGGAGTCAGCCCTCCACCAGCCTGGTCAAGGAGTAGTCCCTATTGTATGTAGTACTTGGTCAAGTTCAGAGGATCCTCCCCCCAGTGTCTTGTATAGCTCCCTCATCTTTGAGCTCCCACACCTGGTAAACATGTCCACTGGTAAACATGTCCATAGCCCCCATCCACTCATTCCCCTCCTGCTACTGCTGAGCATTCATTCCCAACTCTTTTTCCTCCAGCCACCCTTGGGGTTGCCACACGCGGAACCATCTTGGTTTCAGTACCAAGATGATGCCAGAAATCCTCTTCTTCCAGGAAGCTTTCCTAGATTGAACAAATGGGACCTGCTCCTCTGGCCTCACTAGCCAGAACACAAGCTTACTTTCTCTCACTGAGGTTTTACCCAGCCCTAGTCTATCAAACCACTGATTACAACCCATTGTAGGGTTGTGGAATAAATCTAAAGTGTTGCAAACAGCATGAAAACATTTTTTTTTTAAAGGAACCAGATTTCTTTTTTTTTAAGTTTTATTTATTTATTTGAGAGAGAGAGAGAATATGAGCAGAGGGGAGAGGCAGAGGGAGAAGCAGGCTCCCCGGGGAGCAAGGAGCCCAATGCAGGACTCGATCCCAGGACCCTGGGATCATGACCCGAAGCGAAGGCAGACACTTAACCGACTGAGCCACCCAGGCGTCCCGAAAATATTCTTTAAAAGATCAGAATAGAGGGGTGCCTGGGTGGCTCAGTCGGTTAAGCGTCTGCCTACAGCTCAGGTCATGATCTCAGGGTCCTGGGATCAAGCCCCGCATCAGGCTTCCTGCTCAGTGGGGAGCCTGCTTCTCCCTCTCCCTCTGCCCCTACCCCAGCTCTTGCACGTGCACGCGTGTGCTCTCTCTCTCTCTCGCAAATAAATAAATAAATAAAATCTTTAAAAAAAATCAGAATAGAATCAAACAAAAAAGAAAATACCAAAGTGTATCACATGCAATATGGGTAAGTATTGTTTTGTTAAAATTTCATATCAGTTACTACACATACACATGTAGAGCATACCAAAAGTCTTAGCAGTTTTAAGCTTTCATAACTTCAGGAGTGTAAACACTACAGACTTAAGAACATCATTTGAAACTTTTATTAAAATTTCTTTTTCCTGGGGCACCTGGGTGGCTCAGTTGGTTAAGTGACTGCCTTCGGCTCAGGTCATGATCCTGGAGTCCCGGGATCGAGCCCCGCATTGGGCTCCCTGCTC